CCTCACACATCCATGATTATTTACATGAATATACTTAAGTGTTCCTTTTGGAACACCACATTTCATTTAATTAGTATGTATGTAACAAATTCCAAATGACTCAAGGCAACAAATTTTTCTATGTTTCATAATATGAGTGAAATGTGAAGTTCTCCATCATTACTTTTCTGTTTATTTTGTTGATGTTGCCTATTTTATAGAAGTTGTTTATGATGTTTAAGTCAGTTTTACCATAGAGAATATACTAATGTATCTTCAGTATGGATGGGACTCTTTTTTTGAGACAGGGTTCCTCTGTTTCACTTTGGAGCCTGTCCTGCAACTAGCTCTTGTAGACCAGGTTGGTCTTGAACTCACAGATATCCAGCTTAGTCTGACTCACAAGTGCTGGGATTAATGGCATGTGGGACCACCCCCTAGCTTGGATAGAATACTTTTAATCTTTGAATAGCTTTGAGATTTATTGGCCTCTTAAAGTCAATAAATTTGACATATAAAATATACATGCATACTAATGGTCATCCTAAATACATGTTTATAGCATGCAGAATTCTCACAGTTATTTATCCTAATGATGTCCTTTAATTTATATCATCTTTTTCTGATATAGAGTCTGACAGTGCTGTTAGTGAATTTGCATCCAAGTACTACAGCCATGCTTCCTCTCTGCATCCTGAGAAGCTGACAATGGAGGAGACCACTTCCCTGAGCTTATGGTATTGTAAAGCCAACTGTTTACTCATTTCATTTAGATTGTTGGTTACTCATGTAAGTAATGAGACTGAAATTCACATTTAGTTATATTCAGGATTTTCTGAATTATTAGACCTACGTACATTACTGGATTACTGACTGCTTCATTTGACATCAGGTTATGTCTTTTCACAAAAGTAATAAAAATGTTGTTTATATGATCTGCACATGTCCTACTTCCATATATAATAATGTCATACATTCTATATGTTGGAAAGTTTTATTTTAATTATTAACTCATTTATCACAAAGATTATAGTATGTTTTTTATAACCTCAGAAGAGACAAACACCCATACTATCACCCTCATTACTGAGGGAAATGGCATACAAGGGACAGTAGCAAGATTCAAGGGACACATATAACACACAAACCTACCCTACTGCGATATCCAGGGTATGCAGGACACAGTGATAACCTCCCCATTAGATGACAGGTAGATCTCATTGACAAGCATGAATTTTATGAACTTCTACAACCATGATGAGACCCACCCAGATGACCCATTTACAAAGAGTTTTCAGATACCAAATTTTCAGGTATGTGCCTTTATAGCCATCCTATTTGAGAATAAGATATGAGCAGAGTCTCCAGTTTTAATCAGTATGGTGTGAGGCTGTGACATTCACTAATAGGGTTTATCAGGAAACACTAAATAGCATTCCTGTTTCCAAGCCCATGAGTTGAGTTCCTAGAGATCTGGTCAAGATTGCAAAGTTTATGCATATAAGGACAGCTCATGTTACTTTGTGAGAGCATATTAGGTGAGCTGTATAGAAACCAATCCTGAGATTATTCAAAAAGGTGGAACAAGGCAGCATTAGTTACGATCTTTAAGTTTTAGGAAATAAACAAGGATAACATTGTGTGTTGGGAAACAATACATGCATGGAGTCATTGCTGGAAAGGGCTTCATATTCTCAGCAACACTCCATTTGAAAATCTGATTGTCCTTTCCCCCACAGATATGAACTACAAATAAAGTCCTGGATAGGAGTTGATCTTTGTGGTCCAAGATGTAATAATGCTGGGATTCATCTGGTTTAAACAATGTTAATTTTTTTTGTAAATCTCATTGTAAAATCTTTCTAAAATATTTACATATGTGAGAGTAATTTTAATGCAGTCCCATATATAATGGACACAATTCCCTAGCTAGACATCTTATGTCACAAAGTAATACCCCAGTGGTATAAGTGTGTTGTATATTGGGCAGCCATTAGGTCTAAAATTTTTGGCTTATACTTATTTATCATTATGGAATAATACAATTATATATTTATCTTTTGATTGCTCATTCTATTAATCAATTCTCTTATATTTGTGTTTGGGATGATGTCTTGATATTTAATAACTCATCAAAGGCCTTGTCAGAGAAGAATTCTCTTTCTCATTCTCAACATTCATTAGTTTCCTGTAGCAACTGAAGATTTTGAGATATCTGACATCCACACTGGCATGAAAACATGTGCTGTCATTTTGTTAACGTTCTTTAGGTATCTGTATTGTTGAGATTTTTATGGATGCATCATTCACATTATAAATAGAAGCTACTTTTTTGTAGCACTCAAATCTACATTATTGACCAGAAATACCATGAGACATTCATATGTGTCTTGGAGCTATAATGAGTCTAAGTCCTGTTAAGGGCTAAGATTTGCAAAATGATGGCAACTAAGGAAGATGACACATACATCAAGTTTACTTACAACTTTTGTAGCAGTATAATTATTTGCATTTTGGCCTCAGAAAATGAATGAGAAAGGGTACTACTTGTGTTTTGAGATGTCCTGCTATTCAACTATATTTTCATGAATGAAAAATATATTGGAAAATTATTTTCCATTAAACTTTAATTTGACTTTAAACTATTTTACATCTCTAGCTTTAAATTGAACATTAACACCATATACAGAAGTATATATAATGGGAGTTATGAATTAGATTTCTCCTCCAAGCTTGTTCAAGCGAATTACATTTGTATGTATCTGGGTTACAAATGTAGTTCTAAGCACATTAAATAATTTCATCATTTATATGTTGACTGACCATTTCTTGTTACCTTTTAGAAAATGTTTCAGCAAATTAGTAATTCAAATAAAATTTGGATTTACTAATTCATTCTTGCTACATTACTTCAGCCTCAAAAATTATAGCATTTGATTGAAGCTTTTTTTGTAATAAAATAAGCTTTAAATGATAAATAGA